GGGGGGCGTGGCCGGGGGAGTGGGCGGCGGCTGTGTGATGTCATCGGGGTGAGGTTTCCTCAGACCATTGAAGGGCACCAGCTCGAAGCACTGGTTCAGCACGTCCAGGTTCACATCGGTGCTGATGCTCATGAAGCCGTATGACGTCTTCTCCACCTGCACACACAGACAAATGGCAGTTTAGTTTTAGTAAGAATTTTACGGCACTTGCAACACAATAAGGTCATATAAGTGCCGAAGAATAGATTATGTATTACAAGAGAGTAACAAACACAAAAAAGAAGGAGGGGAGATAAGGACAACAGATATTCGATAGGAAAGGAGAAGCAAACCACACCAGAGCACCCTCCAACCACCCACACAAATGTCAGATGTGCTGACAAAATGAGTTACTTCTCGGATTCTAGCCCTATGGAAATTGATACATCAACTTTATAGGTGAAGTTTGTACAATTTGTAAGTAGGGAAGAATAAAAGACATAGTAGACTTTAACAAAATGGCATCTATTGAAAATCTGTAAATCTGACCCCAGAGTCGATTTTCGGACAATATCTCCGTTCTTGGATCGCGAGAAGCAACTCATTTTGTCAGCACGTCTCACAAATCTACTTTCTAGTACCACCTCCAGTCTTCCATATTTGTGTGACCTAATTGTGTTGCAAATGCTGTAAAACTTTTACTAAATCTAAACTTCTAAACTAAAGAGACACGAACAGGTCATAAATCACGAGTTAATCAGTTCGTTCCTACACGATCTAGAAGGAGGCTTTACTGAGGGAACTTAAAGAGAAAACATAAAATACACATTAAACATTTTTGTTAGATTTTTAACTCTTTCCCTACCAGAACATTTTGGCAGCTTTTTTTTCCATTCTGATTGTAATTTTAAAAAGTTACTCCTTTTGACCATATTGTGAATACATTAGTAACTTCCAAGGAACACATTTGGACCTCTTGCTGTTATACTGATAATTTGAATAGGGTCCAAAGTTTGTATCATCGGTTTAATTGACTTGCTTCTGCAACATTAGCGAATATCAACATTCAATTACCTGTCCAATGATACATAACTGTCACCACCTGTCCAATGATACATAACTGTCACCACCTGTCCAATGATACATAACTGTCACCACAAAGTTTATTACACCATCTGTAAAAGCTATTAGTTTCCATACCCTCAAAATAATTCTAGGAATCACAAATTAATTACATCCGCATGGTTTCAATCGCTGTAAAAAATTACGCCCTGAATGAGTTAACGTCAAAGACAAAAAGAAATAAACCAATAGGAGACCTCAGCCACAGAATGGCTGGTCACTGTAGTGTTAAAGCTAAAGACAAAAAGAACAAAACGTATAGGAGACCTCAGCCACAAGGCAATGCATGTCAGCGTCCTGAGCCTCGATGAGTTCTGCCAGGAAGTAGTCTCCGTAGGTGTTGTGGAGCATGTCGCTCTGACGGTTGAAGATCGGGGTCAGGTCGTCGTGGTCCTCCACGCTGGGACAAAGTCAACAAGAAACCTCCTTGTTTTAGAACATGCTGGAAAGCTGGAAGTAAACTCTAACCTCTTTTTTGCTCATATTTTTTTTCCAACAAGGTCCCTCCACTAATTGTTCAACTTCCCATAGCTATAAGCAACCACTTTGATGTTCACATTCTTTTGTGCTTGGTGGAAGCAAAAGTAAATTCTGACTGCTGAAGCCTGCTCTGGCACACTTTCCTTACTGGACCTATTTCTATCACAGCCAAGCTTTCCACTAAGGAAATCTTGTAAAGAAACAAGCGGTGTCTCCAGCCAGTCTTGGCCAGGGGGAACTTCAGCTATGCATTTTTTACTGGATCAATACTGTAATGTTCAATAATTCTCATAAATCAGTTGCCTGTCTCAAGTGAGAAAAACAGAATTGTTAGCACGCTTCACCATCGTACATAAGGACTGAATGTTACTCTAAACGGGTAATACATTTTCTAGAAGTCAAACGTTTACACATCTCAAAAACATCCATCCAACCACACAGATATAGACATTACATCACAGCGCACCACAGATTCCAACAGCTCAGTACTGGTGGGGACAAAATGACAGAGTCACATTTTTTACAATCTGTAACAACAACAATACAATCATTTGAAACAACATCATACAAAGGCTTCATGACACTACAGTTTAACATTACATAACATTTCACAGGGAGACAAACTGCAAGGTACATGAAACGAACTGAGAAAATTGTACGACCTTTTTAAAGAGTATGAGGTACCTAACTTAAAAACTCAGATTTCTCTGAAAGTATTGGTTAACTCCTGAGGGGTGGACTCACAAAGCTTGTCGGATGTGCAGCACGGGCACGTGGTCGTGTCGCCGGCACACAAAGAGGACACTGCTGTCAGACTGGCCGTCCTCTCGTTTCTCCATGGGTTTGAACGCCTGAGCCAGGGAGGGATCTGAGGGAAAGGAGCAAGGTTTTTTGTTCAAAATGTAGGTGTTGTTAGGCCCCAATCAACACAATTTAGATCATTAGAAGCTGGGCTTCTCAGACCGAAGGGCTAGAACCCAAATGGCCGCTGGATCGGAAAAGTAAAGTAAAGTAAAGTAAGGTGGGCTTCTGATCCTGCCTGTCAGCGCCAACCCGGATTGAGACGGATACAACATCCCAATAAAGACTGAAGTACTCAATAAAAATCTTTCCCCACTCGGGAATCAAACTCGGGTCTCTTTTGTGTGACAGTAAAGTGCCTAAACACTAGATCACGAGCACCGGAAATGAGGAAATGAAGATGGAATTAATCAACAAATGTACTGTGCTAGGACAATTCAGGACACCAAAAACACAAGTGTGGCATGACTCTTTTCATAACTCAACAATTGAAGCAGTGAAAAATTCAAAAGCCTGCTTTTAAAACAGTCTTCTACTTCAGAGGAATGGATTGATCCTTTCTCAGAAACTTTTATTTTTGGAAATGTGAATCATAAGATGAGAAAAAAGAAAAAAAAAACAAAAAGAAAAACTGCCCAATGCGTTCCCCATCAGTCCAGATCTCCATCTGATGTACCTGAGCTCATGCCTGAGTGTGACTACTTTTACCTGAGTGTGACTACCTTTACCTGAGTGTGATTACTTTTACCTGAGTGTGACTAGCTTTACCTCAGTGTGACTACCTTTACCTGAGTGTGATTACTTTTACCTGAGTGTGACTAGCTTTACCTCAGTGTGACTACCTTTACCTGAGTGTGACTACCTGAGGGTGACTAGCTTTACCTGAGTGTGACTACCTTTATCTGAGTGTGACTACCTTTACCTGAGTGTGACTACTTTTACCTGAGTGTGACTACCTTTACCTTCCTGTGCACCAAACATCCCCACCTCAGTGCACAGCGATGTATTTCTACCTAAAATAAAGATTACACAAGGAAACGTGTGGCATCGTGGTGAAATCAGGCACTCGTCAAAATACGGAAATTGAAGAAACCGATATTGTTCTGCCTGTGGGGTAACTTTCAACAATTTTCTTTCCTTTTTTTTTTTTGGCTCAACACTTTTTGATTTCATTTAAAGACACATTTCTATGCAGTTTTTTACTGAAATTTTTTTTTTTTAATAAAAAAAAAAGTAAATTTGCAGTTTTCAAAGACACTCAAGCTGTGGGGTCACCAAAGTTTGACGCTCATTTT